ATGCCTGAGCCACCCCTGCCAAAAATCTGTGCCCTTTCCATTTCCCAGGCAGGGAGCAGGGCTGGGCTTGTTTGCTCCCTGCCTCCCCCCACCCTTACCTGTGGCCCATTTTCCCCCACCTGCAGCCAGGAGAGCCCCTCTGCCCCCTTCCCTGTTTACAGGACCCTCACTGTTCACCTGAGGTGCCCCTAGGTGAGACCAGGAGCCAGATCATGGGCCCATGCCCAGGTGGGGTGCACAGTAGGGTGCTGAGGGGTCGTGACAGGACAGGACAGGGGGGTGGCCAAGGGAGGTGGGTCCCAGAAAGTGCGAGAAATGTCTGGCAGAGGGTGACATGGGACACACTGTTTTAGGGGTGGGATTGTCCTTGTACTGGCCAGATGGATATGCTCCCGGCACTGCAAAGCCTGGTCCCAACAAGCCCCCAGCATGGGGGCCGGGGAAGGGCTCTGGGGGCCCGTGGGCACTGCTGCATCATGGTGGCTCTGCAGAAACCCGAGCTCCCAGCGGTGACTGCGGCTCCCTATTTGCGGCGTGTGACTCGTCCCCAGAAACAGGCGCTACTATTTTGGCTGGTGGATAATCAGCTTCTCAAAAATAGGCGATGGCTCCAGGAGGGTGCGTGGGGAGAGAGCGTTCTGGAAGGGGCACACCCCTGGGCAGGGGAGCATAAAACCCGCTGCTCCCTGGCCCCAACCCAGCACCGCTCGAGCCGCTTGCAGCGAGAGCAGAGCCACAGCACAGCCGGAGCACTTGCTGGGAGCAAGAGATGCTTTGCCGCCTGCACTTCATGCCGCCCATGTCCAGCTCGCTGTTCCCGTGGCTGGGACCCGTCCGCACCCTCTGGCCTCATCCAGGCACCCTCTTCGCCGAGCTGGAGCGGGAGATGCGGCTGGAGATGGAGAGGGCTCGTGAGTTCATGAGCAGCGTTGAGCAGTACCTGAGCACTGGGAGCAGCCCCGGGAGGATCGGCATTGCCCCGAGCACCAGCGCCGCCCTGACCCAGGGCTCCGGGGAAGGCTTCTCCGTCTGCCAGGACGTGAAGGACTTTGCGCCCGAGCAGCTGTCGGTGAAGGTGGTGGGCAGGAAGGTGGTGCTGGTGGGGCAGAAGGAGACGCAGAGCACGGACGACAAGGGCTCCTTCTCCTACAAGTACGAGGTGCTGAAGCGGGAGTGGGACGTGCCCGAGGAGGTGGACGCCGAGGCGCTGACCTGCTCCCTGTCCAAGGACGGGCAGCTCCGCATCGAGGCCCCCAAACTGGCACTGCCAGCTGCTCCGGAGAGGAACGTGCCCATCCAGATGGGGCCGGCGGTGGCACAGGTGGCAGCCAGCACTGAGGATGGAGCCGAGCGGGCCAAGGCCTGATGGGGAGCAGCAGCAGCAGCCAGGCTGAGCCTGGCAGATGGGGCAGCTACTGGCCACAGTGCAGGACCGTGCTGGGACTGTGCAATGGCCCGGGGGGGGGGTGATGTCTGCCCAGAACATGCACCTTTTTTATATGTAATAAATATTCCTGACTTTTATTTGCGTGGTTTTTGTGTTTCTGGTCTCGCCCAGCCCTGTGCTTTGCAACACTCCTACCTCTGCCCACGCAGCGGGATGGCAGGGTGGGAAGTGGGGCTGTGCTGGCACAGGGCACGTCCCTGGCACCTCTCCCCACCCCTGCCCTGGCACAGGAGGTTGGGCAAGGGGCTTCCAGCCTGTGCGCAGCGCTGGGAATCCCCGGGAGCTCCTGAGCATCCCCCTGGGCAGCCTTCGGACACCTGACCAGCACCTTCGTGGTGGTGCTGGAACTCTCCCGTGCTGTGCCCGCACCTCCCGGGCCTCCCCAGCAATTGCTGGCACTTTCCAGGCCCTGGCCGAGGCTCGGCCCGCCGCCAACCCACGCCCCCGGCCACGCCCCCGCGGGAATGGGCGTGACCTCCCAAAAATGGCCATGGGGCGGGGCCACAGCCATACCGGGCGTTTGGCCACGCCCCGCAGTCCGGGAGGGAGGGGAGGCGCGACCGCATCCAAATTTGGAGAGGAGGGCGGGGTCATACAACATATTTAGAGAGGGCGTGGCCACACTCCATATTTGGAGGGGTCCGCGGGGTCGCGCACCGCCGGACCGGGATCGGTGCCGGTTACCGGAGGGACCGCGGCTCTCCTCCGGTGCACCGATGGCTCGGCACCTCCCCGGCACGGGCTGTCGCGGTGGGTCGTCGCGGCCGGGCCCCTACCCTCCTTGGCCGGTTCCCGCGGTCCGCACACCCGGGCGGGATCTCTACTCTCTCTCTGCTCCCTCCCGGGGCTGCGGGTGAGGCGAACCGGCCCCGGGAGCCCCGGCCCGGCAGCCCCGGCCCCCGCTCCGCCGCCGCGGGAACTACAGCTCCCGGCATGCCCCGGCGCGCAGGCGCAGTGAGCGCGGGGCGCACGCCGGGCCCGGCATGGCGGAGCCGGAGGCCGCGCAGCCCGGGCGGCCCCCGCCGGGTCCGGGCACGGGAGCGGCGGCGGCGGCGGGAGGGAGCGGCGTAGCGGCGGGAGGGGCGGGGTCCAGTGACCCGGCGCGGCCCGGGTTGAGCCAGCAGCAGCGGGCGAGCCAGCGCAAGGCGCAGGTGCGGGGGTTCCCCCGCGGGAAGAAGCTGGAGAAGCTGGGGGTCTTCTCGGCTTGCAAGGTGCGGGGACGCCGGGATCCGGAGGGGCAGGGGGTGCGGGAGGGGGGATTCGAGGCTGTGCGTGGGTGGGGGATGCAGGAGAGGGGCGCAGGAGGGGGGATGCTAGGACGGGC